CAGTAGCAGCAGCTATAGACCAAGCTCAAGCTCCACAACAGGTCCCGACTCTTGTATTCCCAAGTTTAAAGATTACCGCTCAATGAAGAACCCCTTCTATCCATCCAGGTCTGATGAGAGCCCAGAAGAAGTCTTCTTTAGAGGCAAACAATATCATGGGCCAGCAGAGCTGGACGAGATGGAGCAACCGAGTTCTGGTTTGATGCTCGTTGATGGTGCGGATCAAGATGGTGCATCTGAGCTGAATGAAGTCAATGAAAGTGGCTTTGACGAGGAGATGCTGGAGCTGGATGAGTCCATCTCTCCAGGTGACACCATGGAGAGACATCACAGGGAGCTTCTTATTCATGTCATCCCACCGTCCCTGTGCAACTCTGAGGAACAAATCGACGAAGGATTATCCAACGGTGTCAAGCATAACACGTGTGACAGAGACGAAGCCGATGCTCCAAAGAAACGGAGAGGTTCGGTAATGACAATAATCACTGGGGACTGTGAGCATGTCTTCTCATTTGATGAGGAGCATCAGATAGATGCTTTGAACCCTGTGGGTGAGTCTCCTACTGCGTCTCCAATAGAGGACCTTGCCTGCATCAGAGAAGTGGTGGAGGAGCTCCAGGATTCCTCACAAGCACGAAAAACCACAACTTCTGCGAATAGTATGCTAATCTTACATATAGACACGTCCTCTCAACAGTCTGGAGAAGTGCAAACAAATGAACCCCTGGATAAAACAAGCACAGATGTCTATACTACAGCCAAGCTTTATAAAAATTACTTGTCTGAACGGCAAAGTGCCTCAAAAAGTAAGCAATTAAATATTTTACAGTATGCTTTCTTAAAAGTGGTTTTCACTGGTGGGTCACAACCTCCTTAAATCTCTGAATGCTGGAGAGACTGAAACTCAACATATTCACTCTCTAATGGACACACACAGTTTCACTCACTCACTCTCTCGCTAAATTGTTTCAATTATAGTATTGTGGTTTTCTGATTACAGTTTAAATAAGTACAATTTTCAATGTTTACGTTAATATTAAGTGACACACATTTTAGACACAATATTGCTGAAAGCAACTTGCTCTGTTCTGCCAATGAAAAAGTCACAGCGGTGTTTTAATGATTTGTCCTTTTTGAATGAATCGGTTGAGTCAATGATTCAAAGACCCATTCATAAAGTGACTTGCTTTGAATGAATCGTTTAAATCATCAGTCGTATTGAATCATTGAATGAATGAATCAGTGACTCACTAATTAAAACAGTGACTTGCCGTCACCTACTGGCGGTTTTATGCTGCGTTCAAGTCCTCCTGGGACGTTCGTACTTACGAGTTGACAAGTCGTAATTATGACATCAGGTGCGTTTAAGTCAGTTTAGTCGGCACAAGATGGCGATTGCGTTTTTAATGTTTTTTTTAGACCAGGATCCCAGTATAACTGATTTTCAGCATCAACAAACGCTAAAATACAGAGATTAAAAAAAGCTGTTAGCTAAATGCAACATGCAACATGGCAAATCAAAAGATTTTTCACCTATAGGTGCAAAAATGATAGCATTTTTTTAACTTGGATTTCATTAACTAGCTACGTAACAAGAACATGACCAATTTAAGTTTATAGGACAACTAAACTATCAATTTAAGCAAAAATTTTCCGTCAGCTACAGAAGTTGCATCCATCGATTCCGCCATGTTTCTCATTGACACGCCCCCAACTCGGAAACTCGGGGCTTAAAGAAAATTTTGAGTTTCCCACTCGTAATAACGACTTTGTGGTGGCGTTCATGTGCATTCAACTCGTAAATATGATCTATCCGACATGACTTGAACGCACCATTAGTTCATTTTAAAAATGGTAAGAATTTACATGAAAGGGGAAAAACATTTTTCCCATTCAGCCTGTCATTTGAGTAATTTTGAGAATTGTTTTACTAATGTCCAGATTTCTGGACATTTTTGTTTACAGTCATTTTGTAGGATCATCAAATTTGGATCTGTGTTGTTGGGTCACCAATCTGTGCCCTGAAGCTGAAAACGACTAAAACAGTGTTTTGTTGGCTTTGGCTTTACAATGTTGACGTAATCAGTCCTACTGATTTTTGTGTATTTTATAATTCATAGATTCATTAGAGGTCAAAGAGCACCTCAGGCCTCCAACGGACTCCATTCATAAAGATTCAGAGGAGCATTCAGACCACTGGGCAAGGAGACGCAAGCTCTTCAAGGAGAGCAAACAGCGCAGTTCTGCAGGAGGAAGCTCTATTACTAGCAATATCACAGAGGAATCAGGTATTCACTTACATATACACTCAATTCATGTGCCGATTGGTTTCGAAGGAAGTTTTTGTGCAATCAATGCATTTCTTCCTATTTATGACAACTCATTTTAGGTCACAAAAAGTGAATTTAAACCAGTGTGACCATGGAGTCTAAATTCACAGTTTACTCATGCTCTTCTGAAGCTAATAATTCTACTTAATGCTATTTGAATATATTAAACATTAGAATAATATATTAATGTAGCCTTATTCATTAAAGGAGGACAGAGAATTTACTAATTTCATTCACTTTAAACTATTCTGCAAGTCGGACTCACCTGCATTCAGCTCCCAACTAGTGTGTTTGATCCCTGTTGAAAAAACCAGCATATGCTGGTTAGGTATGTTTTGAAGCTAGGATGCTGGTTTGAGCTGGTTTAAGTTGGTCCTTTGCTGGTCCTTTGCTGGTTTATGCTGGTC